AAAGGAAGGAGCCTCCCCCCCCCCTCTCCCTCGCCCCCCGCGCCGCGCAGAGCCGGGCCCCTCCCTGAGAGATGGGGCGGGGTGGGGGGGGGAATTTGGGAATGGGATCGACCCAAACCACCCCCCCCCCCCTTGGACTGATGGGTCCTTCCCTGGGGGAGGAGGGACCCCCCCGGAAGGGTGGGGAGGGACCCCTGGACACTTGGGTTGATTTTGGGACCCCCCTGAGTGATGGGGAGGGACCAACCCCCTGGACACTTGGGTTGATTTTGGGACCCCCCCAGAAGGGTGGGGAGGGACCCCTGGATGGCTTGGGTTGATTTTGGGACCCCCCTGAGTGATGGGGAGGGACCAACCCCTGGAGACTTGGGTTGATTTTGGGACTGCCCCCCCAAAAGAGATGGGCAGCGACCCTTGGACATCCAGAGTGAAGGGGGGCCCCCCAAAGTGATGGGGACTGAACCCCAAAGTGATGGGGAGTGACCCCTGGACATGTGGAGTGAAGGGGGGACCCCCAAAGGGGTGGGGAGTGACCCCTGGACATTTGGAGTGAAGGGGGGACCCCCAAAGTGATGGGGAGTGACCCCTGGACATGTGGAGTGAAGGGGGGACCCCAAAGTGATTGAGGGGACCCCCAAAGTGATGGGGAGTGAACCCTGGATGTCTGGAGTGAAGGGGGGACCCCCAAAAGTGATGGAGAGCGACCCCTGGATGTCTGGGTTGATTTTGGGACCCCCAAAGTGATGGGGAGCGACCCCTGGACATCTGGAGTGAAGGGGGGACCCCCAAAAGTGATGGGGGGACCCCAAAAGTGCTGGAGAGCAACCCCTGGACATGTGGAGTGAAGAGGAGACCCCCAAAAGTGATGAGTAGTGACCCCAGGACATCTGGAGTGAAGGGGGGACCCCCAAAAGTGATGGGGAGCGACCCCTGGACATGTGGAGTGAAGAGGGGACCCCCAAAAGTGATGGGGACTGAACCCCAAAGTGATGAGGAGCAACCCTTGGATGTCTGGAGCAAAGGGGGGACCCCCAAAGTGATGGGGAGCGATCCCTGGACATCTGAAGGGGGGACCCCTAAAGGGGTGAGGAGTGAACCCCAAAGTGATGGGGAGTGACCCCTGGACATGTGGAGTGAAGGGGGGACCCCAAAAGTGATGGGGAGCGACCCCAAAGTGATGGGGAGCAACCCCTGGACTTGTGGAATGAAGAGGGGACCCCAAAAGTGATGGGGAGCGACCCCTGGACATCTGGAGTGAAGGGGGGACCCCCAAAATGATGGAGAGTGAACCCCAAAGTGATGAGGAGCAACCCTTGGATGTCTGGAGCAAAGGGGGGACCCCCAAAGTGATGGGAGGGACCCCAAAAGTGATGGGGAGCGACCCCTGGACATCTGAAGGGGGGACCCCTAAAGGGGTGAGGAGTGAACCCCAAAGTGATGGGAAGTGACCCCGTGACATCTGGAGTGAAGGGGGGACCCCCAAAAGTGATGGGGGGACCCCCAAAGTGATGGGGAGCGACCCCTGGACATGTGGAGTGAAGGGGGGACCCCCAAAGTCATCAGCAGTGACCCCTGGACGTGTGGAGTGAAGGGGGAACCCCCAAAAGTGATTGAGGGGACCCCAAAGTGATGGGGAGCGATCCCTGGACATCTGAAGGAGGGACCCCTAAAGGGGTGAGGAGTGAACCCCAAAGTGATGGGAAGTGACCCCTGGACATCTGGAGTGAAGGGGGAACCCCCAAAAGTGATGGGGGGACCCCAAAAGTGATGGGAAGCAACCCCTGGACATGTGGAGTGAAGAGGGGACCCCCAAAGTGATTGAGGGGACCCCCAAAAGTGATGGGGAGCGACCCCTGGACATGTGGAGTGAAGAGGAGACCCCCAAAGTCATCAGCAGTGACCCCTGGACATGTGGAGTGAAGGGGGGACCCCCAAAGTGATTGAGGGGACCCCCAGAGTGATGGGGAGCAACCCCTGGACATCTGAAGGGGGGACCCCAAAAGTGATGGGGGGACCCCAAAAGTGATGGG